TTGCAATTTTCGCAAACTTCAGGCAATTTTGCGATTTTTTCATGTTTTGCAATTTTCAGGGATTCTTGCAATTTCCAGATTAATTTATATATATATATATATATATATCAATTTTTTCATGTTCATAATTATATCTGAGAATATCCCTTTTCATCAAGAAGGTCTACATCTGTTCGGACAGTCAGGCAGCACTCAGGGCTATCTGTCATCCCAGACCAAGCTCAGCATTGGTACAGGAATGTGGAAATGCCCTCGAGATATTAGCAGAATCAAAGGAAGTTGAACTGGTATGGGTCCCGCCCGGGTCATAGTGGGGTGCCCGGAAACGAAACAGCAGACGAACTTGCTAAGGCCGGATAGTCCGGATACGCGGAGCCGTTTCTGGGACCAGAGCCTGTACTAGGCATAGCAAGGAGCCAAATCACGTCAACCCTCGATGAATGGGCGGACAAGGCACTATAGGAGAATACTGGAGGAATATCACAGGATGCAGGCAGGCCAAGGAATTCATGGCCAGTCCAAGCAAATCAAGGAAGGAGTGGCTGCTAGGCAGAGACCGCCAAGTACTCCGCCTCCTCATAGGAGTACTCACAGGACACAGGAGGCAGACACCTATCACTTATGGGAATAGAGGACAACCCCACTTGCCGCAGATGCGGGGAAGACGAGGAAACGTCAGTCCATTTCCTCGGCGAGTGCGAGACGTACGGAAGGCTGAGATTTGAAATCTTTGGAGTAGACAAACTCTAACAGGAGGACTTGATTATATTAGAGTGGAGGGACATACTGGCCTCCATCAGAAGTTCAGGGAGATTCGTGAAGGAAATCTAGGTGAAGGAAGCGTAGATATGTGGAGAGCAGGGGTTAGCAAAAAGGGCCCATCGGGGCCTACTTGCTTGGCTACAGCCTCCCCACCTCCTCCTACTACTACTACATTCCTTTTCAATTTCAATGTTTCTTCAGATAGACCTCAAAACATAAAATCTGTCTACTATAACATCGCTAATTCTTTGAATAAACATAAAGCCGTTTCAAATATCTAGTTTCATTGATTTCGTTAATTGCCGATCCATAGCTAGTTTCTGCTTGTGGATCGCACAATGCGTAACTTGCACTTTTTTGTACAATTGAATGGAAGTAATGATTATCACATTATTCACATTCCAGGCACCTGTGATGTGATAACAATGTTACAACATAATGAGTTGAATGACTAACTGGTACAAAATATACAGATTTAGATTGAATAACCAGTGGAAACATTTTATGATTTTTCAGAGAGATCAGAGGATCTTTCCTGATGGTCAAAATTGGGAAAAACCCGCATTTTTGCGGAGAGTGCATTGGAAGGAACGCCAACAGTTCTGTTTAAAAAACTGAATTTTGACATTTCAATTGAATATGCGAACAGAATCGTTGAATTCTTAAGCTTATCCCCATAACGCCAGAAGGGTTGCCGAGTATCTGTCAGTTATGTTTCCTGACAAGGTAATTTCCAACAACGGAGGCATACGTTGGCCAGCGCGGTCTCCTGATCTCTCTCTGCTGGATTATTATTCATTGGGAACTATGACAGATTTGGTTTTCAAAATTGTACCTATCAATATTGATGAGCTGAGAAGAACCATAATCACCATACTTCCAGGAATAAGATAAGAGGACGAGAAATCTTGCGAGCGATTCAGAATCTGAGGAAACGCGTATAGAATTTAGAAGTAGAAGGTGGAGTATTCGGACATTTTTTATAACTTCGTTTTGTTTTGTTTCGCGAAGAATAAACTTCTAGCTCATAACATCGTTCCTAATCCAAATCCATAGTTTTAAGTACATGAGCTTCACGAGAATGTGAACATTCCAGATCCAAATTCAAATAAACTGTCAAAATTCAGCTTGTTATACAAAACTGTTGGCGTTCCTTCCAAAGCATTATATATTCGCAAAAATGGTTTGTTCCCAATTTTGATCAAAGGAAAGATTCGATCATATCGTGTGATATAGGTACATCATTGTAATCAGAAAAAAAAACTTTTCACAAATGCAAAAATTCAATATGGTGCCCATAAGAAAAAACAAAGTTGTGTGTTGTTACTGTGCCATGAGAACGTCATGAGAATACAATAACAGATTCAGATTCCTCGTAAAAAAGTACCTCAAGAATGTCACAGTCAGAAATATCTAGGTCTTTTGGTTTCCGCTTGAAAAAATAAAACGAAAATTATAAATTTTTGTTTTCTTCCAGTAATTCAAAATCTAGAAATGACACATCAAATTTTCTTGCAGATAAATGTTCAGTATAAAAATGAGCAACTTTGCCCTGAGTTAACCGACCTCGAATCTCTTAAAATATCTGAGATTTCCCATGGTGGAACTCGAAAAACGAACACCCTGTATAGTACCTAATCGATATTTTGGATCATCACTCTAGATTGAAAATTGAAAAATGAGAATTTCAGGATGATGAATGTCAAAAGTGGCAAATGGGTCTCATTGTACTCACAATGTTATTCTCTATCGAAATAGGTAAAAATATACCGGGGTGCGACCCATTTGAAATAGGAAAATATGGGTCATTTCTGGTCAAACCAGAAGTGACAGAAATCAATTGAAGACGCCAAATAATGCATATTTATGTACTATACTCACACACCGAATGTCAATTGTTTATCTGTATAAACAAAAAAGTTATAGGGATCATGCACCTTTGAGAAACATCCGGTATAGTGTCTGAACGTCCATGAAATAGGTCTCGAGATAGGTGATCCAGACATTAAATTTATTGAATTACACGGACAATAGCCCAAGTCGTATGTCTCAAAGAGTCTAGTGGTTTCACTCTAATCTTGATATACCGGATACAATGCATTAACAACGCTTTATTAGACCAGTGCCAACAAAATAATCTTCATTGCGATATAAGAAGGAATATACGACGACCAACAACATTTCTAAAAAAGTTAATGCTCAAATATACAGGGTCACGACGAGCTTTATATCAGTCGGGACATCGGGAGAAATCCATGAAAATGTCCATGCCTATAATTTAGAATACCTACACTCTCTTCATTTGAAATATTTTCGATAATGCAGTGTTGCCGTCTCTACTAGAAAGAAGTAGCAACATTGATAATTCAAATGGAATACCCTGTAGGCATTTCATCGAATTTTCAGATTCTCCCTGACGAGCCTATTTTACCAATAGATCACACTTGGGGTATATTTTTCAACTTTAGGATTTGTTTGTGTCGAAACTATTTATTATCGGCCAAAACGACGCACATGTCCCTATCTCAATTTTCGATTCACTATTTACTTACCAATATTCAATCGAAACAGATACAGGGTGATCAGAATTCTGAATCCTAAACCTGCGATGGTTAGGTTATATTTTTTCAACGCCTTGACACGGGTTTCGCTAACTATGTTAGCATCTTTAGGAGAAGATTAAAACTCAGTTTTAATCTTCAAATGATGTCAAATGTCAACAGATCGCTTTTGAATGATTACACACGCTATTATTTTAAATGATATTTTTCCTTCTGTTCACTAAATTTAATATTGATAAATCACAAGAAAATCATATTCGTAGTTGACTTTATTCATATACCTATAAAAAAATGTGTAATTGAAGTACATTGTGTGTTATGTGAATTGTATAATAATGAAGAAAGAAGGGCAACTTGGATCGCATTTAGAACAATTTGCCCTTCTTTTATCATCATTGGACGATGTATATATTACAATGTACTTCAATAACACATTTTTTGTATTATATGAGTCAACTAGAAATATGATTTTCTGGCGATTTATCCATATCTATGTCTATATTCAGTGAAAAAAAGGAAGAATATATCACCTAAAATAATGGCGTGTGTAATGTCATTCAAGAGCTCGTTCAAGAGCAATCTGTTGACATTTGACATCTCGTATTTGGATTGACTATAGATTAAATTGCCGTCATCTAGTATGAATGTTTACTAAATATGAAAAACTCGCCATAAAAATCATATTTCGTGTTGAATTTTCCGAGGAATTTTCTATATAAAAATGTGTCATTGAAGTACTTTATGATTATATATGAAGTGTCCAATGAGAAAATAAGAAGAGCAAGTAGCTGTGAATCCATCCAACACAAGTGAAAAAGAAGGCATAATTCGAACTTTTTCTTGGAATATCTCGATAAATAGTGGTTTGTTCACATTTCCATTATCAAATTCGTGTTTTTCAGACAAAAATACGTAAATAACCAAAAGAAATTTTGGAAAAAAAAAGCCATCGCATGATGAGTGCAGTTTTACCTACCTTGTAATTTTATTGTAAAATATCTTAATGAATAATAGTCTGTTCACATTTTCATTATCAAATTCGTGGTTTTCGAGTTTGATAAGTGAAAAATAACCAATTATAATTTTCGTAGCCTCGACCGGATATGATTCCGTTCCAATTAAACAGTGCTGCTCCTAACGTGGCGTATGGAGTTAGAAACAAAGCCTACACAGAACACACATGAGCTGAAGGACCTCTCGTAAGGTCGATGGCCAGTTGGTATGTACATAATATACATACCGGCATACATACCAAAGAAGTACATACCTGCTATAGATGCTACTACTACTACTAATATAAGTATGTGTGTAGGCATGTACCTATACATCATTTATCTCTGGTTCATTTTGCATGAAACATTGCTTTTTTTTAGTATTGAACTCGGTATTTTATTTGTATTTGTCGACCATAGAGGTCATATTTTTTAAATCTGTTCATCTGATTCAATAAGCAATTCAATATCAAGGAAAACTTGGAAATGAAAATAATGTGTTTGACTTAGGTATTATTGATACTTCCCAATCGATGTTCTCTTTGGTATAGAGTTCATCTTCAAGGCAAAAATAACAACAAATGATAAGAATTCGAGATTAGAGAACAAATTATCAACTCATGAAATAAGTACCTATCTCTCAAACTAAAACATTTGTGAATATTAAACTGAAATAAATACTTACCAAACAAAGCAACACCAGCTTATATCCTCGTACCTCGAAATTTTTCCACATCCACAACAGAAAAAAAGGAATCCCTATTATCGATCAAAACAAACCGCGCACTAATGATAGTCGGTCAATGTTAATAATTTACAACGCCATTCGAGGATGAACAATATAAACACATCAAACGACCGATAAAACAATCTTCATCACGGGAAAAATCGAAACAATCTACGAAAGAAACTGTCCATTTCGTAACTCGGTTTTTTCGCTGTTGACAGGTGAAACAATTCAAAATCGCGGAGAATCGCGGGTATCTATGCTGGTGCGGGAACGTCCTCGCAATAAAGTCGCGCTGACGAAACTCTGAGTTCATTGACGAAACTGGCTGGCGCCGACGTTGCGGCGTTGCCACATCGTCAGATATCTCCGGTGATCACATACAAATATTTCTTCCAGAGAAATCGTGCCGTTCCGTTCCTCGGAGGGGGCCCTGGGTCCAACAACCAGAGTAGGAACTCGGCCAATCAATTTTTCCATTTCTGCGAATAGTGCAGGCATGTTTTTTTTAGTGTAGGTCCAGGGTGATGTGTGAAATTAACGATACAAGCCAATTATTTTAAATGGAGAACTTGATTAAAACTAGTGGTGCTTCAAAAAGTAGAAGGAAACTAGAGTTAGAAGATGAGAAGTGTAAAATTTCCAAGATTACCACGTTCTTTACGAATTCTACTACTGTTTCGGATAATACAGTTGAATATTATGATGAATGTCCATCAAGTAGCACTATGATGATTGCAACAGGAATGGATGTTGACTCTTGACTCTGCAATTATTATGGAAGAAAAACTATCATTTCAGATTTTTGGGATTTTCTCTCCTCGTTTCTATAAAATGAAAATATGAATATTATTTCAATATACGTGTAGTGAGGACAAATCAGATGATTTGCCCCAAAATGTCACTGCGTTTAGAGAATTTCTCCTATCAGAGAGCCTAAAAGAAAGATTCACTAGCTTGTCACTTGTCAGTGACAATTTGTATTGAAAAGAGTTTGGAAAAGAGAAATTAAGGTATATGGAAAAAATATAAAATTTTATTTTAATGACGTATTCATTCTACAGTGTGTCCACGTTAGGGACTGGAACATAGTCTCTTCAACAGAAATATCAATACTGGAAAAGGTTAAGGTCAACTGGTGGAAGATAAAATGGCAAAGATAAACCACATTCTATTTTCCATGAAGAAATTTAGAACAATGATTTTCCATTCTTCGAGATGGATATTAAAAAATCCACACGAAGAATCAATTATCTTCCTCTTACTCAATTGTGATTCAGAAAATGTAATTTGATAGTTCATATAATTGAAATCATAAGAAAGAGCTCTACTGATTAGAAAATAGGGTGTGGATAGGGTGTTTCATTCAAAAATACTAGTTTTTGTGAAATTTTCAGGTTTTACGATGCTTTTTTGCATTTCTAGAAATAGAGATTCTTTGTGCCCATGAAAAATACTTCCACCTCCTTAGTGATGTCAAGAAAGCAGCTTGAAATGCACTATTCTCTGCGTCGATCTATATTTTTATTACGTGATTGGTGTTGAAATGAACATTCCATCATCAGTTACATAATATTTTACTTTACACAACTGGTTAAGTGAAGTAAGACGTTTCAAAACTTCCGTCAGTTTTAAAAAATGTCACATTACACATGTCAAAATTAGATAAAATACCTTATTCTCACACTTCTTCTGAATAAAACAATGAGTTTGTGATCGACTTCGTCATAATGAACAGTTTTTCCTAGTTTTTGGAATGTTCTCAGCAACTTCACTCATTTATAGCTCCCTTGGAGTTAAGTGCATCGATATGAAAAATTGTATATCTTTCGAAAGCGATCACCTCCAGCGTTGATTTGGGAGTGTATACTCATTTTTCTTACAAAAAGTGTGGAAATAATGTGTTTTCATGAGATGTCAAAAGTTCACAGTCAAAAAAGTTTCAAATGAATAATATCAGCGTACGCATCGCTCTATTGACGCTACATAAAATTAAATAGGAAATTATGATTTCTCGCCTCAAAAAAACCCCCCGTTACATATTTCGTGCTAAAAACTTGATTTCAAAGAACGAAAACAAAAATTCGATTGAAATACAGTGTATCCCGCAACGATATATAAGCATATATTTCCGGACACGAGTATACATATACATGTATTTCAAATATTTTACCATACTTATGTTACACCCTGTATATTGGAATTATACGAAAACTTCCATTTATAGAAACGAGGAAAGAAACTGTAAAGAATTTGGAGGAAAGGATATTCCACCGACTCGATTTACCTACAGACAGTATTTATTGCCAAAGCAGTTAGGCAACACTGTCGCCGTTCAAAGGCGGCGCCGTTCGTATTTTCTCGCCACATTTCGCATGTCCGCATTCATCTTCCTATCCAAACAAATCAAATGAATAATTATTGTAAGATGATACAAAACTCAATGACGATATAGGTACCTATTGCAGAAACAACATTTAGTTCCCATAAGATTATAATGACGTGACCAAATAAATTTATTATACGTCCTCTATGTCGTCCGATTTCTTTTTTCATTTGATTTTTTGTAGATATTGGAAACTAGATCACTGATTGAGATTAGCCACTTAGCCAGGGGGTTACCGGAATAACTCCCAATATGAAGACTCTTTCTCTGAGAAGAAGAGATAAATATAGAGATCAAAAATAGATTGTTGGATTGTTTTTGATATTATTTTGAATGAAATCAATAACGGTTTCAGAAGATAATCAGTCCTTTCGAAACAAATATTGGTATTTCTTCAGTCGATTCAATCTTCCTCGCGTTGAAAGGAAATGCATTAAAAACCAGCTATTTCCGAAGGCAGTACTTTTCGTCCGCAAACACTAACTTTTCGTCTGCAAACACTTTTCGTCCGCTGCAGGGTTGCCAGTTCTACTGAATTTTCGGAAGATCTCTAGATTTGCATATTGATCTACTGAAACATTTCCTAATCATATAAGTATATTATTATCAATATCTTTATTTGATCACACACCTATACATTCCGTGATATTTCGGCACGCTATTTATATTAATTTTACAAAATAGGTAATAAAAAAACATGTATAGGTACTATATATACAGGGTGGCCCACGGTCGATGGTACCTTAGACGTATACGGAAAACGGTACATTGGATTATCCTGAAAATCTGGTTACTCTAATAAGCGTTTGTGATCTAACGATTCAAAATATTTTCAGCGATGCAGCGTTGCCACTTTTACCAAAAAGTAGCATCATCTTTGTTATTTCAAATGGGACACCCTATATTTCATTGCGTTTTTAGATTCTTCTCGAAGAGCTGATTTCATCAATGTGTCACACTTGGGGTCTAGCAGGAATTATTACAGAGATATAGGGTGTTCAAAATCGAGATTTTTCAATTTCAGGAATTTTTTGTGTCGAAACTATTCATTATCGATCAAAACGGCTTACATGTTAATATCTCAACTTTTGATTCACTTTCTACTGTCATTTAATTGGAACAGATACAGGGTGATCAAAATTCTGAATCTTGGACCATCCTGTATTTTTTCCAATTAAACGGTCTGTGTTTTGACTATTTCTTGATTGACGATAAGAACACAATAAGACATTTTATTCCCCAAATGTCGAGATACATCTTTGGAAGATTTTCTTATTCAGATTTCACAAACGGAGAAGATCACATTCGTGATCAGATCATATACGTATTAATAATCAATAGGGATAATCTCTATCTGTTTCCATAGCGAAACATGAAGCCGATTTTTGAAGACAAATGACTATCCATAAGGAAAAGTTCTGAAACGATCAGACACATACTGCTTTGATTGAAAGGCTAGTAAACGTCATTGTCCACCGAAACGCATGTCTTTGATGACTACTATAATAGCGCATGGCGCATGCGTATCACGCCACCAAATCCTTATGGATATTCATTTGTTTCATATTTTTGGCTTCATCCTGGCACCCGTTATGATCCGTATTGTTTGTTAATACGTAGGTGGCCAGGTAGCCGTGCGGACAAAGTGTCTATATTCTAATTCGCATTCGCTTGCCGGTCGTGGGTTCGATCCCCGTCGACTGCAGAAATTTTTCTGATGGCCCAAGAAAGTGTTTGGGATCACACGTTAAAAGGTAAGGCCCCCGTCATTCCTTGCTCGCACAAGACTCTCGAAGACTTCTGAGGGTTGCTCGTAAGGGGGCAACCGAATGACGGATAGAACAAATTTTAGAACAAAACATATTTTAGAACAAATATGGATCAGATAGAATCTATCTCGAAGACTTATCAACTAAAAGAAAAATAAATTGCCAGATTTCCGAAGTCAACCATTAATTCTACCTAGTCATCAGTGATTGGAACAATTGAAATTTCTTCAGTGAAAGGGATAAAGAACACCTCTTCGAAAAATTATAATCACAAAAATGTCACTAAACTTCCCAGAGTACGAAGATGGAGAACTATTAATAATATTGTGCGTCAAAATATTTCAATGTTACGGAAATATAATTATTCTAAATCCACTCAAAAAATTGACATATATTTTGAATTGATTCTCGAATAAATATTATTTTAATATCTAAAAATACGACGATTCGCTTTTAGTGTGCCAGATACAGTACTCTACACCAGAAATCGAAAAACAAACAACACTTGTCAAAGCAATGGATATTTTCCTCTCGTTTGAGATATTAAAAGCTGGCTATTTGTGACATCAGAATAAGCAATCGACAAAAATTAGCACTTGTCTTTTTGCCACTGGAAAATTTTCAATTTCCCTGAAAAAATAGTACTTGAACTGGATTTTATTACTGCCTGAATATAAAGGCAAAAAATAGCACTCTTTTACTGCCCAAGCATTGTAAATATACTGTCTGTAGGTTAATCGACTCCAAAGTCATTCTTTTTTGTTCCAAAATTAGCTCTTAAGCTGACGTTTCAGTGTCTAGAAGCTGAAGTGTAAATAACTCCTAGAAAGTGAATCACAATAGTGGTCACTTCACTCTTCACTTATATTTCATCAATTTGATAGCAGTTTTTTGGTTGCAGTGAAAAAAATAATATGATTCATTTGGATTTCGTGTGGTCTGAATTGTTATCATTTCATTAGGAATTTTTCTGAGGGAAATAACCCTAAAAAAAGGCAAAGAAGATTTTTCAATACATAATTGTGAACAGGGAGTGGAAATACTATGAAACCAGCCAACAATTTGGAACAACAATTTAGAAGTTAAGTCTACAGGGTTAAACCTAGAATGAAATTTTGCGTCTAGACTCATCTGTAGGTATTGTCATTTTTATATCTTGAAAATAGTTTAAGTTTGCTCATTTAAACAATGTGGTATATTTAATTATTATTATTATATATGCATTCAAAACTCAGATCATGTCTTATCCTTTTTATTAGCTATTTATCTGCACTTCCATCCACAATGTTTATTGAATTGTGCTTATCTTCACTTTGTCTAATCAGTTGAAATATTTATGACATCTATTTTCAACAATTTCACCACACCTATTCGACTTCATTCCAACTGTTTTGAAAATAGTTCAATACAAAGAAGGAGACTGCTGAAATTTTTCTAGTAATTAACTATGAGATTGTAAAAGAAACAATTGGAAAAAATATACTATGTTATTTAATCATCGTCGATCTGAATGTCGACTACCTAACTGATCTTGTGATACCCAATCTTAATAATAAATGATAATAATAAAGTGAACCTTTGATATTTCGATACTAATACTGTATACTCCTTTTGGTCTGAATGTCGTCCAATATTGCTTGCAGTTCTTCATCTTCAAAACGACCCTCCAGAGACGGGATGAGAGATTTTGCTTCCTCTGTAGTTTCTGGGCATAGGTTTGCAATGGCAGCCAACTCGAATTTGTGAAGTTTTTTAGTCTGCATCAACAAACTACGAAAAATATCAATTTTGATAATTTTTTAAAATTTGCTTTCCACGGTGAAAATATTTGTGTTAAGCAGTTTTACTAGTGTGAAGCAGGCTTTGCTATCAATGCCATCTGGTTTATTCTTATCTGAAATATACTTTATACAGGATAAGTCAGATTTTTTTAGCATTACGACGTCAACAGCTGAGCGAATAACTTTTTTTAAATGAAAATTCTATGTAAACATATATGCGTGGGATCTTCGTTTCCGATATACAGGGTTTCAAAGTTCAAGATTTTTTGTGCTATTCCAATTTCCTCCGACATCAAGCTTTGAATACCTACAGGATGATACACTTCTGAGGGTCGTACCCACATCAATCCTCTCGAACTTTCTTGCGCACCGCCTCTGTTCTCAATGAAACATCAATTTAGATTCTCCTTTTAATATGAATACTTCTTGCTCCTTTTTGTTTTTATCGAAAACTGTATTGGTTTCAAGATAAATGCCTAAATAATTTACTTGCAATGAAACTTTATTTTTGAAGTACGTATTTTGTAGCAGTATTTCAACAGCTCGAAAAACACATTTTGTTAATATGAAAACCCCATGTGAACGTGGAGGCTTAATTTCCGATATACAGGGTCTCAAAGTTTGAGATTGTTCTTATGTTTTTCAAGGTTGCTTCTACATTTTTCAGAATAATGAATTGAAATTTGATATACCTGGTACCGTTTGGAAACTCAATATTTCAGGTTATGAATCGTTCTTGGATACCTACAGAAATAAGATACACTTTTGGGGTCATTCAAACTTTGAAACACTGTATACCGAAAACGAAGCTTTTTCATCTTGAAAAAATATCTCCTTTGAGCTGGGGTAAATGTCCTACTACAAAAAACTGACTCGCCCTGTATATAACTTATCAAATGGAGTTTATTCAATAATAGGTTTCAAGTTAGCTCTGAGTTGTGACTATTTTTATTATACAAAATGGATTTTCTGTCATTTTAAGGATAACGAGGGATTATTACAGTTTACATCAGATATCAATTAGATAGTACAGAATAAACACACTGGCCTCGGATTGCTTGTATTTCTATCCAATTCCTGTCAAAATTAGCAATTCTATTCGGTGCACCTCTGATCATTTGATTACAATGTCGTCTAAGAAAGTAGTCATTATAATCATATTCATTCATTCGTTTTGTGGAAGAGACCGTACGAAATGGCGCGGACTCGAATAATTTGCACTGAGAACACTTACTTTCTGACTGCAGATATGGTTTCCTTATTTTTGAATTTCCGAAACCGGTCGGTATAAGTCAAGGTCTTCATGAAGACATCGGAGAATTCCTGCTCGTCTTCAGCAGACTCATTCTGATCTTTCCTGTGTTCCAGCAACATGTGGACCTCAGAAATCAGCAGGGTTTCAGCATTTTCGAATTCTAAAACCATGATTGAAATGAAGAAACCTTGTGAAGAAAAAACCGTGAGAACCTCTCAACAATCTCATAAAGTTAATAGAATAATTGTTCATGATAATAATATAGCGTCTATAAAAACAATTTGTGATATACCTACATTATTATTACAACTTTGGGACTTGCTTGAACAATTGTTAATCACAGTCTTAACTTATCAATCACTGCTGTTGATAGTAGATAACAAAAGATCAACCTATTTATAATACAAACAAAATAATTTGAACAGTAATGGCAACCAGGAATGAGTGATTCCACTTTTTTGTGGACATAAAGGATAATCATTTCAAATTCTACCATCGATTGTGACATATTTTAACACAAATTCCTTATTTTTGTATGTCCAATGTTGCCATAGTATTTAGAAACATCTCATTTGGATAACAATTTAAATCAATTATATTGGTTATAGATTGAATATTGAATGAAGAAAACATTTGTTCATCACCTCAATAGGTATTTTTTTTTCTCAAAAAATTGTTTCTCTCATATATGATATTAAAACCTCTTTCAACCACCTTTTAACATCAGTGATTGTGAACTGAAAACTTATCATAACAATCATAACATTTCTAGATCAGTTATTGGAGGAATTGAATTGAAATTATATAAATGATATATTCTTATCAGTGAAGTTTGTAGAATTGAACCAAACTATTGATAAATCAAACTTCAGTTTATCCAATATTTCAATTCCAGTATTAATTTGACCAAAGTTTAATCATTATTGAATAATAAAAAAGATGATGGAACAAGAAAAATTATAAAGCTGAGATGTCTACATTTTGTCATAGACTATTCAATAGCCCTTATCCTTCCAGGAATTTCTGTAGTACCTACCGACCAGATATGTATTTTAGTACACCATTCCTACATTCAATTTTGTTATAAAATTGACCTATTGAATTGAACATTGACTTGTTCTCAATAATTGAGAACTCTCAAAGAGGAACAACTTGTATAATTCATGTTAAAACAACAATCAAACACCATAGCAAAATCACATTTTTATCATCAGACAAGGAATTATAGTTCATTTATTTAGTTATGTCCATCACCAACTAATCAATCAAGGCATCTTTGTAATATACCCTTCCTGTATCAAAAAGTCATAAAGCTTCCTGGTCTTATTCACGTCAATCTTCAACATTCTTCTAGCAGTTTGCAGAGACACAAAACCGTTCTTTTTGCACTCGGCAACCAAAATTTCTCTCAGTTGAAAGTACGCCACAGGTACGAGACGTACATTGCTGCACAATTCAATCTCTTTCTCTGTTAGTTTCGAATATCCTGGCATTCCTGTTACTTCTATGGGGGCGAAAGCTCTGCGTCTGTTGAATTTCGTGAGGAATGCTAAGTTGGCCTCGGAGTTTGATTTCCAGTTCAGCTGAGGGTTGCTCCTGAAGGCTTTCAGGGATTTTCTGTTGGATTCGTGCAGCTGATTCAGTTTCCAAAAAATCCGGCCTTCTTCTACCGTTGTTATGCCTTTTCTTCTCCAATGACACAACCTTGAACCACAGAAAGGTAAAAAAAAATCTTCAAAAAGCAAAAACAATATATGAATACAACAGAACACCATTGACATGTAATTTCATAGACTTCTTGTATGATTGAATGCTCGAGAATTCGACCTTTATTAAAGTGTTCATCAATTCTTGCAGGCGGTACAAATTCATTTAGATTTGTGAATGATTAGGTGTGAATCTCGGAGTGATCTTTCTTATAGTGCCCTTATAGTGAAAATACACTGTCTCACAAAGCTAGAATAACAGAAAGAAATAGAATAGAAAATTTGATTTGATATAGGCTGGCAGATAGTTTGATTAGATAGAATCGAGGTTTTTTCTTTCTGGTCGAAACACAAGATACGGTTTCACTATTTGGGAAGATATAAAGGGAGCAGCAAAAAGTGTATTGATTTTGAATAGATCACCCTATATATATTTCCACACAATTGGAAAGACCTTCCGGAGAGCTTCTCCAAAGATACAGCACCCAAAATATTCTTCTGTATTTCTCAAAATATAGGCTTTCAAAACTAACAAAGTTTGATCAATTTCACGAATGATGTTCGGAAGCAAACCGTGTCAATTTTGTCTATCTCTTGGAGCGCACGAGAGGAAACTCCTATAATGTTCGTGGACTATCGTGCGTACATAGAGAGGATAGGGAGAGAAGGTACAATATTGAGTTTCAGTGACCACTGCAGAAAATAATGTAATGTCATAGGTAGCGATATAGCGAATATACTTGGATTTGCAATAATTGTCATGAATTTTTTGCGAAAATCGTTCAAACACATTAGTGAATAAGTGCGACAAACTTCAGGGTGTCATTCCTTGTGATATTTTAGAAAATAAAGTTTACATAAACATGTGTCGAGGTACAGGGTGTTAATGTTTTCATGAAAAATCGTGTTTTTAATCATTACTAATATGTCTTTCTACCAATTTCAATGAAACTTGGTGGTTTTGTTGAATGTAACAGAGGGAGCTTCTTTTGATGTAATTGAATTCAAAATACTATTTTCAGTGGCGTCACAGTGGGTTAATTTATCGATATTTAAGGTTAATATCTTTTTTTTGTTCCATTCTGGTAGTTTACAAATAGAACGAGAAACTTCATAACCTTGCTTGAGAGAATTTACATGAGAGGTTATATTTGTATATGGGGGATCCAAATAATTTTAAAATCATAATACTAGAGTTAAGAATCTAGAAAATGAAACAACTAATATTTGGAGCAGTGATTGTGGTGATTGAAGAAACTTCTCTCTGAGATCGACAGAATTTATTTTATCTGGGAATGAACATATGAAAGAATCATGAACTAGTGAAACTAACGCTGAAAATGTCTTCTAAATGTCTTTTACTTTCAGAAAGGTTCGTTTTTCGTCAATCTAATTTGATTTTTTTGACACCTGTCAACAGTCATTCCACATCATTCCTTGTAGTGAGACGGAATGGAAAGTAGCAACCGGAATCGGAAAAGTTGCAAATAAAACGACACATCAAACTGATTCCGGTGGCGGAATCGGATAAATAAAACGCAACTTTCTTATCCTCTGTGTTTAATTTTTGGGACTTTTTCAGTTCCCAACCATACTAAATTATATGTACTTTATTCCTAAAATATCACAATTAATGACCTCTTGAAGTTTGTCGCACTTCTCCACTAACAACCTGTATTTGTACGGTATTTTTGAACAGCCCTTCGAAAGTTCTTTCCAATGGTGAATAAATATACATATATAGGGCGTTCTATTTAAGATTCATACACTTTTTGCTGCTTCCTGTATATTATCCCAGATAGTGGAAACGTATCATGTGTTTCTAGAAGAAAAAAACTGTGAATGTGTTTTTTACATTTTTTTCTACTGTCAACAATGAAACAGTTACAGAAGGGGTGTTACGACCTTTCGCATTATACCCACTTTCCTTATCGAGACTTGTTAGTCATAGATAATGAACTTGCTCGAAAATTTATCGTTAAACGAAGACATAACTGATTAGTCATTAGGGTGAATCGGGTGAATCAAGCAATATATCAGTCACATACCAGATTTCGTCGCGAACGGTCGACTTAAGTGGTTTAAAAAATAACTAGTATTCAAAATAAGTGAGAAATCAAAATGTATCTTTCAGTTTAGTGATTATAATCATTTATAATGCAATTGTGTGTGTGTGTGAGGTTGGGATTGTGTGTTCTGTTACGCAAGATTGAAGTTTCTTTGCCATTGGACATACACATTGTCGTTTCTCCAAGATGGTAAGTGTTTTTTTATATGAACACTTGAGGTATTTATCACGTGAGGGTTATTTTGATTACATTTATTCGTACGTACAGGGTATTTCAGACTTAAATGTACCGGGTGTACCACTAAGAAAGGACACCGTCTGTATCTCGGAAACTATTTGCCGCATAGGTTTTGAAAAAATATATGAATAATGAAAGTGGCCGAGAGAGATCTCTGGAAATTATTTTCAAGTTTCCAGGACAACCTGCTAGAGGACGTGATTGCATTGGCCAGTTCAATAAACGGGTTTTTATGAAAATTTGATATATCATGACATATCAAAAACAGTTTTTTCATGTTCTCGAGTTGATTTCCAATCATTTCGATCAAAATGATTGCGCTAGCTCTTTAAATAAAAGAGGGAGGGAAGGAATAGTACTTTGAAAAAACTCTAATTACTACAGTTTAGTGTAACGGAATTCAACGATCTTGGTCTCATTATGAAGGATTTTTTTAGTTCTTCCAGATGAATCACAAATCAAGTCGATTTAAATCCTGTGGTGGCCGCTAGATGGCATCGTTTGAAAAATCAGACAATTCTCTATTTTTTTTCGAGAATTTCAAATGGAACCATATATTTATCCTACCCTAATATGAAAGTAGAGTAAACGAGAAGAAAAATGGTAAAAACCACGAATTGCTACCTCTTGAGGTACCGGTGAAATACTCGAAATAATATTATGATAATATTCACCACAGGAATCTAACTTCAATAATCGTAATCATAAAAAATTATGATTTCCATAATTCATTTATTTTGGTTTCACAAACTGCTGTTATATCTCACAATAGTGAAGGATACTCTTAGTAATGGCATAGCAATTTGAAATAAAAGTAGTGAGTAGGCTCAGGATTGAAAGAAGGCAAGTTGGCTTTGAATGAAAGAAACGTCAAAATATAGTTGAAGGTCTATTGGAAATTTCCACTGTTCATTATAGATTGCTTTCTTGTCAGAATGCCGATATCGAATGAGGAGGCATTTGACATGCTAGCAGTTTGAATTTTAATGATATTATTCCGAATATTTCTCCGGTTCTTCAAGAAGTATCAACTCGCGGTTTTCACCATTTTTCTTCTCGTTTACTTTACTTTCATATTATAGCAGGAAAAAGTTATACTTGCATTTGAAATTCTCGAAAAAAAAAGGTGAATCGGCTGATTTTTCAAATGATGCTATCTAGCGCCCACCACGAGATTTAAATCGACTTGATTCGTGATTTATCTGGAAGATCTGGAGAAACCCTTCATAATGAGATCAAGATCATTGAATTCCGTTACACCAAACTGTAGTGATATGAGTTTTTCCAAAGTACTATTCATCCTTCCCCCCCAGAACACGAAAAAAATGTTTTCGATATATCTTGATATATCAAATTTCCATAAAAACCCGTTTTTTCAAATTGGCCAATGCAATTATGCCCTCTAGCGGCTGTCCTGGAAACTTGAAAATAATTTTCAGAGATTTTTCTTCGCCACTTTTATTATTAATATTTTTTTCCGAAACCTGTGCGGCAAATAGTTTCCGAGATACAGCCGGCGTCCTTTCTTAGTGGTACACCCGGTACATACAAAACCGATAGACTTGTTTTGTTGTTTCCAAATCACCCCTTATTGATATATGTGTCAACCGTCTTTCAATACTGAGATACAGAACGTTATCACGATTTTGGCAAAATTTGTATCTAATAATTTATGAACTAATAGGTAAAATCTATTCATACTTGGTAGATATATTTCACCTATATTACCCGTGAAAACTAAATAGAAATCGAGATCAGAATCTAGGTCCGTCTAGGAAAAACAAAAAATATCTTTCATAGCATAAACAACACTCTGTATGGCAAAATTCTGTAGATCTGTTTTGATATCTTAGGAGAGCGAAAGAAAATGAATGAAGTACTTTTTACGAGCGCGCATCCAATTTCACGAATGTTTTATTCGAGGTTTTATTATTATTTTTCGAAATTATCAGCTCGATTTTGAGGTATAAAACTCATTGAATGCTCATGGAAAAACTCCAAGATAATTTAATCTGTTGCACAAATGCTGACCACATAGGAAATATTGAAGTTCATAAAAGAAAACCCTTATTATTTCATATGCTGTATGAGTTTTAATACAGGACTCTCCAAATGAATTCCAGTCAACTAGAATGAATGATGTGAGTCGCATGTTTTTTACGTAGTTCTTATCATTCTTTCTAATCAAGCATAGAACATGCTGTGTATTTCAAAAAACTATTTCTAGAAAACTTTATACAGTGTGTCTATTTCTCATATATGTTTATAAACAGCGCAAAGTGAAAATACGTGTTTTCAGCCAATACTTCGTCATTCATTTGATCAAATCTAGTTTAGTTAAACTCATAATTGCGACTCATATATTTTTGGAATTAAAAAAAAAGGCTCTATCGAAATTTCAGAAGATATATAGGGTGTTCCATTGAAATATTCATAGTTAATGTCCTTTCCGGAGAAACGAATGACCCTGTATATGAGGCAACTTCACGAACTGAAAGTTTGGGTCGTTTCAAGCAACTTTTTAATTCAACATTTCTTCACATCTCTGAAAACAAAAGAGTTAAGGAGGGGTTCCATTTTGAGAGGCGCACCCTGTACAAACAACAGGAATTCCTTGGAATTTCTTTTGAAATTGAAGTTTGGTGTACACAATTTTGACCGCGGTTTACCCCTTATCTACGGGTAATATCTA